TACCCGAAGGAGTCTCAGAGCAGCTTACAATATCCTTTCCCTTCCACTCCCCATGACAGACACCCTGTAAGGTAGGTGGGGCTGAGAGAGCTTTTCCAAGAACTGTGCTTGAGAGAACAGCTCTGAAAGAACTTATAACTGACCCAAGGTCACACCAGCAGCTGCAGGTGGACGAGTGGGAAATCAAACCCGGTTCTCCCAGATTAGAGTCCGCACTCCTAACTACTACACTAAACTAATATCAAACTTCCCACCACACACTTTTATCCCCACACATCAAACACATGGCCAGAGGACCTTGGGAGTCACATGCTGTGGGTCTCAGTGTGTGGGAGGCATGAGGGGTCCCCCATGTAGTAACACACAGGGCATGACAGACCTAATTGGTGGTGCGGGATGAGTGATCTGAATTTCTTTTGTTGGTGGAACAGAAGAGTAGAGGGCATTGACAGAGTACTGCCTGGGCTGTGACTGGATTAGTAAAATCCACGTATAGATAACTACATTTCAACAAGTCTTTTTTACTGCACCAACAAAGGAACACAACAAAGCAAGAAAGAAACTGCTACAACTTTCTGTTTTAGGAACAGGAAAGAGCTGCTTGAAGACAGGAAGAAAAGTAGCAACTTCTTAACAAACATAATAGCTTCCACTACCACCTCTGGGTGAAATAGGTCGTTTACACCTTCGGTCAATATGCATTGATCTAGTTCGGCCACAAGATGTTGACTCTTCAGCCACAGGTTCCTGGGTTCTCTGAGGGGTAATTATGAGAACTGCTGTAGAAATGTAAAGCAACTTACAGTGCAATCCTAAACAGAGTTATTCTCTTCTAAGTCTGTTGAAGTCAACAGGCTTAGAAGTCTGTAACTCTCCTTAAGACTACACTGTAATGAGCGCAAGTGTGTACTGCAAGATCCAGAATATCATAGGTTCAATTATGTTACCATCTAACAATGTGCTATCTTCTTTTCTAAATTTTAAAATGTGTCCAATTACTTTTCATGCAATTCACCAAGTCCACCTCTCCTCTGTTCATGTAGTGCCTTGAATATGTTTGGTTTTGATGCAAGCCTTGGGCCATTCTTTTTTTAATTAAAAAAAATCCTCATTCTTTCCTTTCATTTGTGAATTTTGATTCATTTTATCTTATCTTGATCGTGTGCCTCAGTGACCTGCTTAATCTGTCAAACTATTGAGTCTGTCAGTTCCTTCCTGTCTCAGAGTGGCCCACTGGGGGACCCAGTAAGACCTGGATTAACAAGGTAAACACACAGTGTTTGCATGACTTAATTGCCACTCTACCTCCTTGCCTTCATCCACTGTCAATGGGAGTGAGGTATGATTGAATCATTCAATTCTGCCCTAAAGTATCTGTCCATAAAGGAGGCAGCCTGTTGTGACTTTGCATAAGTCAATGCCCTCTGCCTTGCCTCTTTCCAAGCAGGACAGGTGCTCAGTATAGCAGGCATGTCCAACTTCGAACAGGTAGTGATCTATGTTTTCTGGCCAAAAGTGCTGGTGATCTACCACCATGAAAACAAAGTTTCAAATTAGTTTATCATCAAAAAACCCCAAACACCTGTCCAGCAAACCAGGAGACCAAGTGGGGCTGGTGATCTACCTCTGACTCCTCCGTGATCTACTGGTAGATCACGATCTACCTGTTAGACGTACCTGCAGTATAGCAATGCATGCAGAAACACAGGGACGTGTCCACCTGAGAACATGTAATCAACACATATTACAAAGTAAACCTTTCAGGATCAGAACAGTAAACTGTGCTCCAAATCTTCATTCGGTATTCCTCCATGATGAAAGTAAAATTAGTGAAGACTTCTTAAGTAAAAGAAATCCACAAGTTTAAATTATGTATCTTAGTATGATGGATCGTCTGACATAACATTTGTTTTTCCTGACAAAGTTGACACCTGATAACTCTGTAGTGATTAATTTGATAGAAACACCCATAAATAAAAGAAAATTTAGACATCTCACTATTTATTTAGTGTGTTTACTCCTTTGATATACATATATAATTTGATTCTCTGTCAAAAATAGAAAACCAGGGGATGAGGAGAAAACCAAGGCATGAATAACTCTTACACAGAGAAAAGGATAAAAGCTTGGTGTACTCTTATTAGCTTCTTCCTGGCGTCATGGCAGCTGATGAAAATTCAGGATCTGATCACTTTGTCGTAAGCTGACAGCACTGACTGAATGCCTAGGCAAAATCATACTTTCAAAACAATTCCATCTAAACTAACAAACTGCAAACGCCATCTGATCTTTTGAGAGAAAACAGAAAACGGAGCACTGAAGAATCCAGCCAGTGAAACAGAAGTGGTTATAGTGCCGAAGGACTTGCAGCTGTGCCACCCAGCTTCAAAACTCCACACTGCCACGGAGCTTCAGTGGGTGATCTTAGGCCAATCGCTCTCTCTCAGCCTAAACGACTACACAGGATTGTCCTCACATTGGGAGATGGCAGAATAGATACCATAACGGAATGAAATCTGAGTCCAGTGGCACCATTAAGACCACACTGTAATAATCAGTAATGAAAAGTTAGCAGCCTGGAGAAGGTCAGTTGGGAAGCTGAGACAATTTCACCTCCAAGGCAGTAGACATAACGATCTGGGAGATAGAGAGGTTGCTGAGGAATGACTCTCTGACCCTAGAAAACGTGGGGAGTTTTGTAGACTTTCCTGGAATATAGCTGAATGCATCTGTAAGGCCAAATCCCCTGAATTGTGTAATCCCTCCCCACAATACATTTGATTGTATTTTACTGCAAGAGACTTAGGCTATAGATGATTTTTTTGGCCATGTTTTTTGTCCATGTTTTTTTTTTTTACAATGTCCATTCCTGCCAGCAAAGGTTCTTCTATAGGAAGGCCACAAGCTGGTACAAAGGATTGATGAGAGGATAGAATGGACAAGGGATGACTGATCTGTAAAATGCATTGGATCCCCACTGGGAAGGAAAGTGGGATCCAAATATCCTAAAGAAACAAATAAGAGGCAGAATCAGAGGTCGATTTGGGGGGAATCGCGGGGGATCGCCATTCCCCCGGGTGAGGTGCGGGGGCGGGGCACATGACGAAGCCCCACCCCCTGCTTCTGGCCGCCCCGCTTCCGGCCCTCATTCAGCCAGGAGGAGGCAGGAGAGGAGGGAGGGTAAGTTG